TAAATTCATCATAATTAAAAACTTAATTTATACGATTTATATATAATCACTTTTCATAACGTAAAATTATAACGCATCATTTTCTTTATCTCGCGTACACGTCAATGATCACTTTTCAATGCATCTCGTTTCCACGAATCGTGATGAAAAAAAAAAGAGTACAAAACCGCTTATCGGTCGCGCAAAGTCGAGATGGTGTGAAATAGCAGATCGAACGACAATAGCCGATAATAATGCTCGAACGTAATCATGGTGTATTAACCCCGATTACGATATCATTTATCGCGACATCCGCGATAAATAATGTGGGTCACACGCGTAAGCAGATTCAAAGGCTTAAGACTTCGAAAAAATCCTTAAAATAGAAAACTAAAAATAAATCTATTTATTTATAGACATAGGCTCGCCTGCAATTTATTTTATCGAGAATCTTGACTCTATGTAAAATAGATGATTCCGTAATAAAAAAAAAAAAAAAAAAAATAATTACTCTTTGAACTCGAGAAACATTTCGAAGTTTAATTTCCAAGAGAAATCGGTTTAAAGTTGCATCATAGACGATCAATACAACACGTACGAGCAATACTTTGAAAATTGACGATTGAAATTTAGAAGCTCGATGATCGGTACTATTCGCTTCATAGACTTAGAAAAGACTACATCGAAATCCATAAAATAATATAATTAGCCATCCTGACTAGGGATTTCATAATTGATATAAATAACCAAACGTGTGCCACGAGAGAAATGAGATCAGCCACGAAAGAGTTTCGGCTAATCGACGAATCGAATTAATCCCGGAATTCGAATGCAGCTCAAATCGCGGAGATCCAATTTTAGAGTTTCAACGTTTCCAGACACGGTTCTTCGCAAACTGGTATGAAGAATCGGTTGTGTAAGCAGCGTAGCGAAACTATGTGTAGCTTGTCTGTTCGATTAATGTGCCGGTACGTAACGCTTCTTGGAGCGAAGTCGATAGTCGATCTAGTCAAAATACCGTCGTTCACGATTATACGGAAACCGTGGAGCACAATAATCAAAGTTTAATCGGCGCGAGAAATGGACCTGAACCTATGATGGACGTGTGTCGACTGTCATACTTTAGTTCCACGAACGAAAGACGATACTTTGCTTCGTAATCGAGGATCGTAACGCTCGCATCGAGCCCGGTCTCGTGGAAAATCATGGATTTTCCCTGTGAATAAGAATCTGTGATCTATATTCTCGGACTCGTGTGCGAGCAATCGTAAATCGTAACCGTGACGCGAAGTTCACTTTGAAGTTCACTTTGACTCTAATCTGGTTAAATCTCTGTTAGAGATGATGCAAATGTGAGATACATTAATTTTTTTTTTTACTATAAATTAAAAATTGAAATAGTGACATTACCTAATTCGTAATTTTTTAGCAGATTTATTTATTATACTTGTAAGTCTAGAATTTCGATTTGGTGTTCTTAACCTATAATTTCCTGTCGCAGGCGTTGCAAAGTGAAAGTATATTAATTTTTTTTTCTATTATAAATTAAAAATTGAAATGCTGACCTCGTAATGATTTAGTAGATACATTTAGATATTTAGATGTATTTGTTAATGCATTCGTGTAAACGTTAATTTTTTAATAAAAAAATTGACGAAACTGCTACGTAATATGGGCCCTAGTTAATGCAGGTGTTGACCGCGAGAGTGCATGCATGTAGCAGAAAAAAGCGCGAGTTTTAAAATAAAACGAAAAATAAAATAAAAATTATCATAATTCAAATTTTATATCAAACGTATTCGTTTTTTAAAGGAACTTTATCTTTATTTAAATGAGAATATCTAAAATAAAACGGAAATCATAAAATAATTTAAAATAACAATATATATCCATCTATAATAATATGTCTATAGTATAATAATGTATCCGATGTTTATATACACGAGAATTTCGAGTTGGTGAAATCATAATAATGCAAATTAGGGAATATATAAATATTTGGTGGAAATACTTGTATGTGAAATTTAAATTGAGAAGTACGCAAAATGGATCAATTTAAATATATATATAGATTATGAAGAAAATTTCATCGCGAATAATATAAAGATTCGAAATAATTCTTCGAATCACGATTTCGAAATAAATAAATTCCTCGATATTTTACACACAATTCGTACAATCTCGAGTTTACATCTCGAATCGGATGGAAAACCGCAAAATCGATGCAATATCTAAGTCGTGGTACGCAAGAAGAAAAACATATTGCTCATAATCAGCATCCATAGTTGTAAATCGACAGATAACGCGATAATCGCCAACTTTTCCGACGTCGTACACGATTGTGCAAACACTTTGTAATTTGTTCCGAGAGTTTGCACTCGTTCGACGCGACAAATGCAAACTTCCGTCGAATATGAAAACCTAACGTAGCAGCGTAAAAGGAAAAGAAAGAAGATAAAAAAAAAAATATTTTCTCGCCACTCAAGGAGGAATTGACAATGCTGTTGAACTCGATACTCGTTATTTTTTTTTTTTTTTCACTTTTATTCACGTTTGCTCTTATGAGCAATCTAAAATGCTTTTGGAAAATAATAAAATTAGAAAATAATTTTTTCTTTTCGTATTTCTTACGTTAGACACAAAAATACTTTAAAATTCTATTCAATGATATTTAAATCTATCTTTGTTATTTGATATATTTGCTATATACACTTCACGTGTATAATTTTATTATCAGAAAGTTCTTTTCTGAAGTCAGAAATATGAAAAATTTTTCTTCCAAATTTCCTGTCCCGGCTATTTCACGGTTCTAATGATTGCCTACAATTTTAGCCAATTGTATTCAAATAAAATACATCTAAACAAAATAATTGTCTATATCTCGAGATTTTCACGAACATGCGAAATCGTTTTTAGATCGCGTAAATCATCCAGATTATTTATCAACGTTTCTCGAGAGAAGAATATCTGGCACTCGATGTTTAGCCAACTAAACGAGCGTTTCTACGGAAATAAACGATGAATACCACATGCGATTACATCGACATGTATATATCGATTACGAAAAAAAGGAAAGAGTTGTGTTCTCTTAACGTAACGGTTCTTCTTTCCGTGTCTCTCGAGCGTGATCGAGCTATACATACATTTGTCCTGATGAGCTGTTCATCATGTGTTGACTAGTTTTCATATAAAATTGTTCGTAACGAAGAATAAATATAATATACTGTGTGACCACTTCTGTAACCTATCAAACAACAAAATCTGAATAATTTAATCAGAAAATATAAATAAAGTAAGATGGAATCAAATAAATAACAAAACCTGAGATGATAATTGAATTCTTGCAGAGAGAAATAATTATTCGATCAAATCGCTAGCGATCAACACATTGATCATATTTATCATAAATAATTCATGTTATTTTTTTTAATAGAATCATTTAAAGATTAAATAATAATAATCATAACAATAAAAAACTATAATACGATTCGTAATACATTATCTAATAATTTCTATTCTTCCTTTTTTCTTTTAATAATATTTATATGCGGAATAATTTCAAATATGAATAACCATATCATCTATCGATGAAAAATAAAATGAAAATTCTATATATCCATCTAATTCCTTTCATGTTTATTTAAATAAACGATAAATAAAATAATACGAAAGTAGGTCATGCGTATGTGGAAATGTCAATAGGTTTCTTCCGATAAATATTGTAATTTCAATCGACCATATTCAATGAGAGAACCATATTAAATTACGCGTGAACGTTATTTAAACACATCTCGGATCGATTTTACGTCAACCTGCAGGTATTCCATACTGCTTCAGAAAAAGTGCAACACGCACATATCTTCCGACTAGTCGTCCATGAATGCCGTGGTACTAATGATTCAAGGACACACTATTGACAATCCACGACCTATTATTATTTTTCAAATACAACGTAAAGTAGCAACCTTGTTTCGTTCCTCTCTTTTTTCCCTGCTTTTAGATATTAATCGAAAAACAAAAGATAAAAATCTTTTTAATTCGATAGAAGTATGAAATTAGAATTTTATGCAAGATATTACGAGAAGATAATCAAACACTCAATTGACATTATCAGTTATCGATATCATCAATCTTCTTCCTATTTATGTTTATTTATTATCAATCATATAATCGTAGTTTCACAAAATTATTTCAATTTGAACTAACTTGATTTTTAAATTGAATTCTTCACATCTTACATTGAATTATTTTTTAGAATATAATTAATCTACAGATGTTAATCTTTTAAATTTTCTACATCTATATATATGATATTTATAATAATGTTATTATTATATACAGCAACTGAATAAAATAGTATTCCAATATATTTTTAAATTTTTGTTTCAATAGATTTAAGGTTATTATAATAACAACTACATTATTTAGAAAAAAAGATATCACTTAAAAAAAAGATAAAATCACAAAATAACTTTGGAAAGCTAGAAGATTTTAGGTAGGATACAAGCCATTGAAGAAACTTCGAACACGTGTACGAAAGCACTGGCAGTGAAGTATATATGGTGGGGATAAGTATCGCGCGTCGTGCATAGGTTAATGCTAGCAACTCGATAGAGTCATTTTTACCGCGCTGCTCGACTTTATCAACTAAATAGATTTCTGATATATTGAACTATAATTATATGACGTTGCCTCTAAATAATTAGCTCAAAACTCTTTTCGTTTTTTAGCTTTGTTATATATTGTTATATATATATTAAATAAATGAGAGTGTGAATTCTAATTTTCTTTTTTGATATAACTGATTAAACTGATTGCAATAAGTATATGTTATGCTGCAATTTTATGATATTATATACACTATATGTATACAATAAATATATAAATATAATATTATCCTAGAAAATGAAGATTGATTATAATTTGAATAATATATTTATAATGGTCATTGCATTGTATGAACTTGCATCGATATTAAAGTGTGATAAATGTAATAAACTGGATGAAAAAAGATTACTTACCATTGAGACCATATTTCTCCTGATTCCTCTTAACTTGATCAATAGATAATCCTTTATCAGGATCGACGCTAAAGTACTCTAATACTTCTTCCACTGTTTTACAATGGCCGTCCTCCATGGTTACCTCTATATTAATACGTCACTTAATCTTATCTGTTCAATGACTGTCCACGTTCATTCACACTATAGTTTTCTGTAATTCAAACATACAATAAATTACAGATTAATTTTTCACTATGTATAAATATTAATGTATTTCATTTAAATATATTTATAACATATATGCACAAATAAATTCATATTTATATGAATATCAAATACATGTAATAATAATATAAATTAATTAATGTTAAGAAATAAAAATTGATTGAATTAGTAGCAAATAATAAAATAACAGAGATAAGTATTTCGGAGTATTTAATCACCATTATATCAAAAATTAGAATATCATTAACGATGAAGGGAATTTTTTAATAAATTCCACAATTTCGTTCAAAAATTTCATAAAAATTCACAATTTGGAGAAATATTTCAAAGAACATCTTAAACAAAAATGAGGAGAAAAAAATTACCGCGTGTTCACGATTACCATCCAAAACCGTTTCAGGTTAAACTCTCAGTCGAATACAAAAACTTTTCAAGATATATATATATATCGTGATTTTTCCTAATCGTTCAACACTAAATATATGACAAATTCAATAACACAAGAAAACTCACCAAGGACCAATAACGAAGTATTCGTTGGCGACGTGTCACAGAGAAATTACGTTACGGCTGTCGAATATTTAGGTTAGCTACAGGTCCCTAAGATACACTCGAGCACACAAAGAAAGAGAAAGACGAAGAGAGGAAAAAAAACGAAACGAACTGCCACGAATAAACTTGCCGGACACTGAAAGGAATAATTCTATGACGTATCACGATACGCGAGCACAGAAATTTGAGACACACGTCATTTTCTTAACGAAATATTTTTCCTAAATGCTAAGCAAACCTCCTCTTCCGTAAGACTGACACAGCGAACGGCAAATCATTGCACACGTGCGCCACCTCGCGGAGTTGCGCCATTAACAAGTTGCAGCGTAGTTGTCCGCGCGCGTCTATAATTTTGCGTCAACGTAAATATTAAGTTAATCGATGATATCTTAATGTATTATGATTGTTCGAGGCTCAATATATTTTTACTTTTAAAATTATGGATTTTCTGTTATAACAATTTGTCCGTTCACATTCGTGTTTCGCGAAAACACGTCACATACGGCGCAGCGTCCAGTAGGAAAATGCGTGCGAGTCGAATGAACCGAGCATGTGGAGCAATACCATTGGCTGGACAGCGTTCGTGAAGTATGACGCATTCGGCTATTTTCGGTCTTCTGCTAGTCTATTTCCTTGGCGCGTATTTTAAGACATTCAAAGGACATCGCTATATTGTCGTTATATAACTATTAATTTTATAATTTCATTTTGGCTACTTTGATCGACTTTTCATGTCGATTGAACAATTCAATCACAAATGGTGGATAATCAAATCGATCGATGATCATTTAACTGGTTTCGTTATGTAACAAAATAATCAAATGTTGTAATGAAAATTTTAAAGCTCGTTACGTAACGAAGAAGAATTTGAATATAGACTTTTTTAAATCTTGTATTTAAACTTTTCTTGTATGTATTTTATTATTATTACAAATAAACATTTATATCTTTCGTCATTTACTTCCTCTTTCCTTTTTCTTTTTTTTTTTTTTTAATTAAATGAAGTATGTAATATGATATATTAATATCAAAGCGTTTAATATATGCAACAACCACGCGTGTATCTAAAATTGAATTTATAACTTTTCACTGTTGCAATAACCGTAATTCATCGCTCCATAGCAATGTTAGTCGTTAAACTGAATTGAGTGCATCGAATCATTCTAAACATCATAAACCAAGACATGCATAACGCAAGAAATTATAACAGGTATCATTTTATTTCTAAATAAATACAAAAATGAAAAGAACATTTTTATTATATAACCAATTTTTAACAATAATCCAAAATTTTTTAATCAACGATTTTATTCCAAGTTCCTGACATATTTATATACCTGTACATTTCACGAAGAGAACCAAGAAAATAGAAACAAACATGAAATAAGAGTATATAGAAAAAGAAAAAAATTATCAAGAAACGAATCCATATGTTCATTTATAAAATATAATTTAAAAAACGATTCATTAATACCAAATTATCCTATACACGAAATTGATATCGATAGTAAATCTCTCAAAGTCATTGGACCGTCACATGTTCAAGGTCAACGACTTCAAATCCGAATGGAGTGCAAAGGTCGCAGCCAACAGTAGCAAATGTAGAAGCCAAGGTTCGCGCTAAACTTAAGCGTGAATGGAAGAGTAGCGGGGGAGTCGATCGGGGTTACGGTCGTCGGAATCGGCGACTCCGTGTCTCCGAAACCCGATTTGTAAATATATATACACTCATTCGAGCAAATATCCCATAATCTTAAAATTAAAAAAAAAAAAAAAAAAAAAAAAAAAAAATTAAACGAAAAGACTCAACTTCGTCTCTCTTTCTGTTAAAAAAATGAACAAATATTCAAATGCACAGAAATATTCGAAAAATCCTGCCAACTAACCCCCTTTCGACGTTAATAAACGCGTGACGTTAATCCCGTGGCAATGAGGAATCTGAACGAGTGTCGATTATAATCGAAAGTCGCGGATGAAAACTTTGAAGAAAATCGCGGGCCAGAATGAACAGACAAGGCGGACAGACTAAAACGATTAAGGCTGGTCAATTGGTCGCATGGAACTGGCGGAACACTTGGGAACTATAGACCGGGCGACCAGCTCGCTCGAACGCCCGGGACGCGACTAGCCGGCCAAATCGCGCGTGCCCCAGCGGACCATTTTAGCACGTCTCTGACGACGACTTCCTAATTATTTTGGCAGAGATGGCCACCAGCCACACTCTTTGCCAATGTTCATCACTATCTCTCGAGCTACTCCTATCTTTATTCCACTAATTAGAATATAGTTAATTTTGTTCGATAAACTGTGACTTAGCGAGGAGAATATTTTCTGACTTTTTTTGAATCGTGTAATTTTGGTAAATTTGGGAAATATTTAATGATCAAGAAGAGGTATCTTAATTAATTTCGTTTGTTTGTTGCTGTGGTTAAAAGAAGCTTGTAAGAAGGATGGAGAATGAAACATTTGAATAAAAATTAGACTAAATGTTGATGGTAGTTAGGTAATAGATTGGCGGTGATATAATATTCGGGATGGTTGGCGGCGTGGCGGAACAGTTTCTATTTGAAGATGAGATGCAATGGTGGATGTGCTATAAAGATAGGAAATGCAGTACGTTTGTTGGCAAACAAGTAGAGGTCGTGTTTGTATGTAACGTGAGGTTCACATCGACACGTCCAATGAGGCAATATACATTGTGTTAGTTTGGCCGGGTACTTAGGCTAGTGGATACACTTTGAAGTAACCAATATTCGCTGGACGTCGATTCAATATACATCACTAAATACTTTTTAGACAACGTGAAATTGATCATAGATCGTGACGTACGATCTTTCATAATTTTCGATATCTTCACGTGCACACAAAATGTTACTAAATTTATCCTTCTTATACGATATATAATCCACGATTACTAACTAACTTATTAAATTTCCCCTCCCTCGAATCTAAGCCTTCGAATCTAACGTATCGTAATTACATACGATTTCATCTAATTTGTACACAATTTCGTAATTATTTCAAGTTGCTTAAATTTCCAATTTCATCTCTCCAATTTTACATTACTCATCGATCACTGTACACCGAACAAAAGTTGTTGGGATTCGATCAACACACTAGGCTATCTCTTTCAAGAACCAGATCTTAGATCTCTCCATCCGATCTGTCCATCAAAAAAGATCCACAATAAAACGTTTCACGATTTTCGATTTCGGCTAGTCCTTTTTAGCTTTATCGGTCACACAACACTTTCATTTTCTACAGCTCCCATTAATCTCGTTTCACACTGTATGTATACATGTAGTTATCGTCGGTCACAGAAACACTATATATTGGTATCAGAAACATCCTGTGTTCACCTGATGATATTGTTCGCAAGGCAAGCAGAGACTTACCAATGCTTCTTCTCGATTATCCTTCTTCCTCTTCTTTCTTTACCGAATTCTTCCAATTCTTCTTCTTCTCCCCGTACAAACCAACCACCAGCGCGGACTGGGTCCTGCTGCTTGCACTTTGCGATTCTACGATCGGCCACGCGCGAGTGTGTGGCGGGTCGAACAATGGAAAGGGAAAAAAAAAAAAAAGAAACAGAAAACAACAAGTATGTCACACTTCGTCAAACTTTAACGAGGCTTCTCTTCCTCTCTCTTTTTCTCTTTCTCTCTTGTTCCGTTAATACGACGATCCCGTGTTACCGCTACTCCTCCCTGAACATCGTAAAGTGAGAACGCGCGGTATCCACTCCTTCTCCGGTTTCCTCTTTACATGAAGGGTGTCGAGGACGAAAACAAACAAACATTCAAAGGGCAACGCCTGCGCTGCTCAACGAAACGAAGCGACGAACCTCGCCGAAATTCCTTTAAATAGTCCGTAGGCGTCGCTACCTGGCGGCGAGACATCGAACGAGGGAAAACTCTGGCCGGAAGCCAGTGGTCCCGGCGGTTGCTGCACAGCCTTCTCCCGGTCGTCGCTTGTCGCTGCAATTTTTTTCCATTTAACCTTTGAATTTGACCACTAGATGCCTTGGTAATTGATTCGCTGTTACGAATACTCGATTTTCGAGGAAATCACAGAGAACTGTGGTTCTTCGAGCGGATCAGGACACGATCGCCGCCATTTTGGATATGCATTGAATCTTCTCTCGAGTATTTACTTCGTACAGGTTTTGCACTTGGTATAATGGATTTATATCTTGAGGAATGCACAAAGAGCACCTGAATGAACGTATTTTGAAATGATGTATTAAATTATTTTGTAAAATAAACGAGAGAGAAAGTGGTTCTTACTTGTTATGAGGTACTAAGGGTATTTATAGTTCTTTAAAATGTATCCAGAATCGGTATTCTTTTTTAAATGTGATGTAAGAAGGAATTCAATGACCCCAAGTGGAGTAACGTCGAAGGTGCTCAAGGTCTTACAGGCGGCGGGTTCTTAAAAACGTTTCATTTAAAAATTGAAGAATTCTATGAAATAAAATTGAAAAATTAACCTTGAATTCTCATTATTATCCTCGTTACTCCGCACTGAATGATATTTCCAACTATTCTTTGCAGTTGCATATTCTTATTTAAATAAAGGATCGATTAATTAAAAAATGAATTCACATTTCTAAAACAATTTGTAGCTAATTGATATCATTAATGACACATACAAGATCGTTTGTTGAACAAACGATCACCCAGTTTTCTGACGCACACACAATGCTCTTATTGGAAACGTTCAAGGTACGCATTTTTCTCAAGATCGAAAATAGGTGGTTGGCTTATGCCCAAATGCGATATCAGCTAGAATCCACGAAGACAATCCATCGGGTACGACGATGGGACCATTTGTTATTTGGCCAGTGATTAGTGACACTTGGGGGCCAATCGAGCGCCGAACATGGCTATAGATCGATCATCTTCCATGGCCGAGGGACGATCCGATTGGCGAACCTCGTAGAAACTGCGACTAGTTATGTAATTATGGTCCAATATGGCGGCTAACCTAAAAATAAGACCGTGCCATTTTAGTTTCCGTAATTGTTCCACACTAATTTCGCTCTCGAAACTCGTTGTTCCCAGTTTTACCCGCTATTCCAATCGGAAATCGGTTGCCAACGTTCAACGTCCTTGCCGCTTTTTGCGAAATTTTCCATTCACATTGTGTCGTCGATTTTCTTGATCGATGTATCAATTTTAAAATTGCAATCGTTAAATTGCATCGATCAATAAATTAGATTGGATAAAAATCTCTACCGCATTTTTATCTATTCTCTCTAAAATTTACCATGATTTGATTGTTAAAATTGGAATCGTTAAAGTAAGTTCGCACTTCGACTTGTCCAATATTCATTCAATATTTTCGAATTCAATTATAATTTGTGAACGAAACTTAAGAAGCACAGAAGCACACGTCTCGGAGCCGAAAGAAGAGGGAAGAAGGAAGAGAAGATCAACGGTCAATGTTCTGCTTCTCGTGCTATTCTAAATACATTTTAATATACGAGATACAGTTATGTGCTCGATTCGCATTACTGTCCGTGAAAACGTTAAATCTGTTTCATCCTCCCTCCCGTCTTCGATCTCGCAAAAATAGTCGAAAATAAATAGATCGATCATGGAAAAAATCTCTAGCAAACTTCTAATCAACTGCTAAGTAACGAAATATATTTTTAACAGGGAATTCGATTCGAAGAAATATTGCTGGTGGATGATAAATGCGTCCTCGAAGAAAGGTCGACCGCGAGTACGGTCAGGGATTTGAGAAAGAAAATTTTCAAAGCTTTTCAACTGATTCACGCCCTACCAATGTCATTGATGGAATGCATCTTTGCCATTAATAGAAAGCTCGGGTACGTGGGTGCGCTACTACCCAAAGGACTCACAGATTATTCAGAATTAAATGAGAATCCTGAAATCCGTTAGTTCCCCCCTGCGGGAAGAATAGATTGAAAGTTAAGTGTTTCTGATTTTAAAAATATCTTGATCATCAATGAAATTATTTGCCAATAAATCTTGTGAAGGACTTGTACAATTTTAAAATTGCAATCGTTAAATTGCATCGATCAATAAATTAGATTGGATAAAAATCTCTACCGCATTTTTATCTATTCTCTCTAAAATTTACCATGATTTGATTGTTAAAATTGGAATCGTTAAAGTAAGTTCGCACTTCGACTTGTCCAATATTCATTCAATATTTTCGAATTCAATTATAATTTGTGAACGAAACTTAAGAAGCACAGAAGCACACGTCTCGGAGCCGAAAGAAGAGGGAAGAAGGAAGAGAAGATCAACGGTCAATGTTCTGCTTCTCGTGCTATTCTAAATACATTTTAATATACGAGATACAGTTATGTGCTCGATTCGCATTACTGTCCGTGAAAACGTTAAATCTGTTTCATCCTCCCTCCCGTCTTCGATCTCGCAAAAATAGTCGAAAATAAATAGATCGATCATGGAAAAAATTTCTAGCAAACTTCTAATCAACTGCTAAGTAACGAAATATATTTTTAACAGGGAATTCGATTCGAAGAAATATTGCTGGTGGATGATAAATGCGTCCTCGAAGAAAGGTCGACCGCGAGTACGGTCAGGGATTTGAGAAAGAAAATTTTCAAAGCTTTTCAACTGATTCACGCCCTACCAATGTCATTGATGGAATGCATCTTTGCCATTAATAGAAAGCTCGGGTACGTGGGTGCGCTACTACCCAAAGGACTCACAGATTATTCAGAATTAAATGAGAATCCTGAAATCCGTTAGTTCCCCCCTGCGGGAAGAATAGATTGAAAGTTAAGTGTTTCTGATTTTAAAAATATCTTGATCATCAATGAAATTATTTGCCAATAAATCTTGTGAAGGACTTGTACACGGTAGTGTCAAGATATTCTCTCATTATGGCCGACAAAAATAGACATTATTATTTCGTCGCTTACACGAAGCCCGCGATTCAAAGCATGACGTTATTTTTAGTGTTTAAAAGATAAAGTGTTACGTAAAAGTCGAGCGGAGTATCCACGTTCCGGGACATACTCGTGCGACATAATCTTTTTTATCCTTTACATTTAATACTCGAAAATTTCGATCGTTACTATAAATACATTGAAAGAGAGAGAAATATCTCTCTCAAATTTTATCGAATATTCGAGTTAAAAGTAGCAGAAGAAAAAAGTACATCTTCTTTATTTTATTTTTTTTTTTTATGCAATTAAAATATCATTAAACAAAAATGAGATATTCAAGATGATCGAGTTATTTCATACATTATATAGCGGATGCATTAATTCGTTTCTCTATCAAAGGCAACTGAATAATCAAACACAATTTTCCAAGAGAAATACAATCTAATCCCCGGCAGATCCAAAGTTTACGATTTTAATGGCTGGATCGGACTCTGCCCCCTAACGAGCCTCTATTAAGTGGAACACGTGTTGCGGAAACTTTGATAGACCAACGTCTAACGTGAATTTCACCAGGCAGATCCTGAAAATAGAGTGTTGGAAGCGTGCTGATCCGCCTAGAGATCCGACGAATCCCATTTTATTTATGGACGTTTTTATAAATGACGTGCTAAACATCCACGATGACACCGGATGTCAGACATCGAATGATCCATACGATTTGTCCCAGGCTAAATCTTTGAACGATAAGAAGAAACGATGATTATTTCTATTAGAGAGAAGGTTGAAACGGTATCCGCAATAAAGCGTGGAGTGTATTTGACACGGTTTGAGACTGAAGAAAAACAAACGAATTGGCAGAACTTTAAATTCGAGTGAAAATTTGTACACGATCCTCACCATCCTATTGTAGTTTATTCGAACGATATAATATATAGGGTATCTTTGTTTGCACAATGGAATTTATTGTCATTTATACTATCAATGATCCATTGAACGTTTCGCAATGTGTTAATAGTATTCAAGAGAAGAATAGAATTTAATTATAGATATCAATAGTAAATGCGATACTTGTGATTATTTATATCCTCAGTTAACTTGATAATTAATAATTTTGAATTTTAATCAACAGATTTTATTATTATAAATAATTAATAAAAATCTTTCCAAACACAATTCTAGTTCAAATCAAATTTCTACTATTTCATTTTCCTAAAAATATTTATCAATTACTTCCAATCTCTATTGTATCTTCAAAATTCATAATTCCTCTCCAATTCCAATCAATTATATTTCTTCCTAAAACAACGAATAAAAGAGGAAAGAAAATTCAATAAACGTAAAAGGAAGAAAATTTCCTGAATCATCAGGACACAGTAAGAATCGTTTTATATTTCAAGGACTAGCCACAGATCCAGAGTTCAAGGTACAACCAACAAATCACGTCGAATACAAGACACAGAAGACAGAGAAGATTTATACAAGCGAACCATCGGGGAGGATCAAAGTTGAGACTCGGGATGATAGATAGGGGTTACGGGGGGCAGAGCGCGAGATACGTCTATTCTGGATTCTGGCAACAATAATGCCCGCCAGGGACACCGAGTGGATCGGGCGTAACACACGCGTGCTCTTCGCAAACAACTAATGACGCGGCTTGTACAAAGGCCGCCCGTTCTAATTTCGTGTTATCCTGCGCCGGTTGACTAAAAATATGCGGCCAAAAAGCCTGGGTACGTTCACTTTTTAACGAGAAAGCGAAGAAATGGTTTACGAGTTGTGGCATGATTATTGAAAGCATGGTGTTGCTATGTACTGTAGAATAATCTATGTTATCTGATATTTATTGTACCATCTATTTGAATTTATCTTAAGTGATAATCAGTAATGAGACGTTATGAAGATTAACTTTTAAAAGCATAATTTTGCAAAATAAGTATTGTGAATATATTTGAAATGTTGTTAGATATTCTTCTGTTATCTAATATAATTGACATGTCTATTAGAATATATTTATTTTGGATAATATTGTCAGAGATATTCAGTGGTGAGATATTAATGAATGGAATCTAACTCTTAGAAGCAAAATGTTACTATTTTGCAACACGAGCCTGTCTTATCTAATGTAGCAGACACTTGTCTATCCTCCTGTTATTTAATGTATCTAATGTAGCAGACTAAAATATCTATTCGAATATATTTATTACAGAAACTATTATAAATTAAATTTTCATTTTTAGAATGTTGTTCTATAATATAATTTTTGCCGCTGATACTGTCATTCGTTTTTATGATCTATATATGATTCCGAACCAATAATTTCCTATCCAGTCTCAGACTCAACTACCAATCTCGAAAACGTGTAACACGTATATCTATCAACGTATTCATCCAACGACAGTTCCTCTCGTTTTCCATGACACTGAATCATAATAAAGAACCAAGCTAACAACCACAAAATCCATCAGACGTAAATCTAAATACTTCTTCAAATCCCATCAACTCGAAAGAAGAAAAGAAACAGAGAAAGAAAATCGTGGACGAATATCCAGATTAAAAGAGATGGATGGAAAAAATTATTTTCTTTGAAAAAATAAATCTTTCGTGTATCCAGTTTAAAGATAAATTGAATTCGATCTAATTCTTTATCGAAATAATTCAGAGCCTTAATAAGAAGTTAAGGAGACCGTAAATCAACCTACATGTAATATTGGAACAAGTACAAAATCTAATTTTACAATTTTAACCTTTAACTATCTTACCAGATCCCAATGTGATAACCATTATCATAATTCCAACACGCTACAATACTTTTCTCTACATCTCATACAATACTCTCTTTTTTTTTTTTTTTTTAAATATCCTGATTCTAGATTTCCAAAAGATTTCCATATATAACTTTTTAACTTTCTTCAGAATTCAGAAAGAACAATCTTCTTTCTGAAATCTACAATCTTCCATTATTAACTTTCTCTCCAAATATAAATACACATTTCAATCGTGTACACATTGAAAAATCAAAGAACACGTATAAACTCTAAATACAACATTTTGAGTAAAGAAAATAATATAATCTGATTTCTAAAAAAAATCATAACTTTCCTCTATGAATCTTAATATATAATATATATATATAATAAACGCACGATGCAACGATACGCACGCATGCACTCGAAAAATCAACAACGGGTCTTTGGCTCGTATCGTTGCGTCACGCATTCTTCCGGCCGGAAGCGAGCATCATCGTCGCCGTCATCGCGTCTGTCACGACATGACAGCTACGAATCGAAGCCCGATCGGCTCGTGGCAACATTTGGGCGCGGTTCTGTCCCTCCCTACTCGTTTCATTTCAGGGTTAACACGGGTGAAATATCGGTGCCGCTTATGTAAAATCTTGTACGAGTAACATTGAGAATCTAATAATACACGCGGCAGTGAGGCCTGGCCCGAGGCGTAGAATCGGCGCTGCGTTCATTACCTGTCTTCGTGTGTACGAAGAGGCGAAAAAGTGAAGAGAGTGAATTTTCGAGCGCGGCGAGGTGCTCGTCATCACCGGTCCGCGTTAGAGAGGTGCTCACGACCTAAACTAAAAATATGTTACGGGGTCCGATCAACGGCCAACTGGGCCAGTGAAGTAATCGCAGCTCAACGTCCCAAATATAGTCCGACATCTGTACATATGGACGAGGAGTGCCGATAGTTGGCATCCACAACCGACGCGCTACAAGATCGCTAAGAGTATAATAGCGGCTGTCACCACGATCCCTCTTTCGATGACGTCTATTGTCGTTGGAGTGGCGAAGGTAGCGTCCATCTTCTTGCGTGGTTAATCTCGTTGTGACGTGATCCACCAGGGACGTCTTCAGGGATTTCTGAAATCATTTCGATCGTGTTATTCCTTATTTAAAGGATAGAATTTTAATTCGTAGTAGATATATAGAAAATAGAGAGAAATATTACGGTCTATATTTAGGCGAATTGAATGTTCTGAATTAGATTTTTTTTTTTTAATGTGTTTGTCAATTGATTAATTTTTTGTGTAGAATGGAAACGAAGGTGAAAGATAATATATATTCGGTTTGATTCGAAATTTCTTCTTTCTGTTTTAAGAGTGAATAATATAAATGTGAAATGAATTTGCAAGATTTTCATACAAGTGTTGATTCGAATCTAATTTTGCTACGTCTAATTTGTATCCTTGAAATTCGAAAATTATCGTTCGAAGATGTCTCATACTCGTGTTTCTAAGCTACGTAATATTTTCTTTGGAGGCTGCATTATTTTCAGAAATATGAATCGACCGTCCATATTGTGACAATATTTTATTCTAAGTAAACCATGTACGAACACACCGTCTTATTTTCCTTCGGATAGTAGCTTATAATTTATCGAAGCTATTTTTTTCGTTGATATTAACAAAAGTGTATCAAAAAAAAAAAAATCTCAATATCAATCTTAATATCAAACGTAAATATTCATCCAATTATTTAACCAATTGAACAATAATTCAACGATAAATCCAAATATCTAATTAAAATATCCTCCACACGCAGAAATGCAAAGTTTCAACTTTTATCGATTTAATCATCTCCAATTGAATTCAAATTCAATGATTCTTCGAGTCTAACATTTAGCAGACATTCTGAATTTTAAACTTTTTTAAAATTTTACAAATTAAAACTTCCCCGCTAAAGAACTTGAAAGAATTTTTCGTGGGATCTCGAGATACGGATCGTTGCCAGAAATTTAATTTTGCAATTTTCGTTAGCATCCTCGTGGACAGATCATTTGCCAGAAAAACTTACACTATCGTACGTTCGCTTTAATTCGATCCACTACGACACGTGCGAATACTTATAAATAAATGGCACGCGATTGTTTATACGTCGATACTGACTGACGACATCATGAAAGTGGTCGTGAATGTTTTGCATCAGATGTCTGGTTCTGAGTCGCGACATATTATATACATATTAGAATCGTTTTAGTTCTCGAGAGAGAGAGAGAGAGAGAGAGAGAGAGAGAGATCGAGCAAAAGATGCGATGAGAAAAGAGTTGCAAGTGTAGGGTTGACTTTCAAGGAAAATCCAATATAAATAACGCGAAGAATTTATGTACAAGGTGGATAAAATAATTTTATTAAATTTTATTTAAATATCTTGCTCAATCTTCTAAAGATAGAAAGATATATTGAAATGGAAATTGGAATTGTGTAGTAGAATAAATATAATTGATGTTAATAATTTCTTTTTCTAGATAAACTTGTTGAAGTCATATAAAAAGATTGTTTTAAATGAAATTGGATAATGGTTATATATCATATAAACATTTATTTTACATTTGAAGGATTTCTTGATATTGTTGAAAAACAAATTGTGAATGAAATTATGAATAATTATTTTATTCACCCTGTGTATGACCCTGTTCTGGGTTACCAGTCTGCTTTTTTTTTCTGCTCTGACATAGGATAGTTTGAAGGACTACGTTGGTTTCCATGACTGATTAATTTGAGGAAAATAATGAGGAAGTCTTATTTTCATGTTATATCATTAAGAAAAATAATAATATAATACTTTTTAATTTTTAAATAGTATGAAAAAGAATATTGGGAAATATGTGAAAAAAAGAATATTATAACAAAATATAAAGAGAAGTATATTAAAAGAATATAAATAAAGATGAAATGAAAATGCAATAATAAAATACATTTAAGAAAAACCAAGAATATAGAATATTTTTAAAATAAAAATTCTAAAAAAAATAATTAAAAAATTATTAATTTTTAAATCATTCTCGAAATTCATTCTCTTTCATCAAATAGCAAGAAAAAAAGCAAACGAATAGACAGTTTATGACAATATGACGAATTCCATATGATTGACTACATATGAAGCAGGAAAAAAGCAAAACAGAAGAAAGAAAGAAGATACAAACTGAGCTAACGTAACTACTGTTGGCGAAGAGTCAGAGATTACGTTTAGAAGAACAGTATTCGAACTCGTTTAAACAGAGATACTTGCAGATTAAATCTTCAAGTATAATTTTTCATTAATTACGGAAATTTTTCCTTCTTTCCTAACTTAATCGTCTAAAAATCCTGATATTATTTAGAATTTTTTATAAATAAATTATAATTTATATATAAATTATTTATAAATAATCTTTCTTTTAATGTTAATTAATTGATTAAAAAAAAAAAAAGAAATACAAAAGAAAAGAAAGTGATCTTTCTTTTCAAAAGAGAACAAAAGAGAAAAGAAAGTGATCTCTGTCTTTCATTACACGTGCAACTCAATGAAAGCATAACTCTATTTTTATATCGAGTAAGAAATCTGTCTACGATCGAACACGTGGTCGCTTTGAATCCACATCCGCCCTTAACCCTATCTATTATTTTTCACTCTCCTGTTAACTCCTTAAATAGTAATTTTTTTTTTTTTTAAAATGAAGTCCAATAAAGTATACAATTTTTGTATTCGGATATCAATAATCCTACGATTAACTCTTCGATAACGACATGAATCATATAATTTGTAAAGCTACTTATCACGAATTCTATTGTACTCTAAAAAGAATATCCAACACAATTCTAAATATTTCTCATATATGGAATTTTGAAGAGAATTAATTGATCCAACATTTCTCGCAAGGAAATGGTTTTAAAATTAAATTACAATCAAATTATCGAAAGATCAACATTCTTATCAATATATCACTCGTCTGAAAATAATATCATCGAGCGAAGTATACACGAAATTCAAACGTCGCAAAAATGAGGGCTGGCAAACGTTGGCGAGGATAGGGTGAGAGGGAGCTGCACAAGACGATCGGAGGACGAAATGGTAGCAGAAACGACAGGTATTGTCCACGGTCCTAAATTATTCGACGTTCCGTGCCACTAGGTTGAACGGGAATGTTTGGCAGGTTTCGAGCAACGGGGACGTGGAGGAAACGCAGAAAACTCTCATCTATCATGTCGGAACGTGTTACAAGCGAAAATAGTCGCAAGGATACGCCGAGGTCGGACTTGGCGAGAGAAACGTGGACGGGATGCCGGCGTCAAGGGTGCGAGCGGATTATCAGGCGTACGCACCAACTGCTGCGACACTGTCATCATCGTCACAGCGTCGATAGGTTCACGGTGTTTCCCTGGAGAATATCATTTTTAAATTAAAACTTAAAGATAGAGATTTCAAACTTTGAAACTATTTTTTTTTTTTTATTCGACAAAGTTGAGAAATATTTGAACATTTCAAAATTATTGCAAATATTGTGAGATAGATATTTCGAAGAATATTCTTTTTAAATTTGAAATTTAGAAATTCGAAGCTTCTTTTTTTTTTTTTTTTACTTGTGCGAATATTTGAATGTTCAGAAACTTAGAAGCGAAAAGCTTAATTTTAGAGTTTATACAAGGTAAGAACAAGTTGAAAATGTGACACAAAGTTCGCAAGAAGGCCATAGCATATCAGGTACATGTGCACTTAACTCCGATATAACTTGTCGAATGACACGTTAGTTAACTATGATATGTTTACGTGCAAATTTTACGAGACATGTAAAATAATTACTGTTATTAATATAAACTATCAAGATGTTTATCAGCAATATTCTGGGAAGAATATTCATTTTAAAGTGTACCATATTATTAACCGACAAATATAATTTATTGCAATAATTTATTAATAAAATAATTCTGTTATTAAGAATTTGCTTCAATATTTTTTATTTTAATATGAGAAGAAGAAAGAAAAATACTATTTACATATATTATTCCATTAAATTTTGTTTCTATTCTATTTTATTAATTTCACAAAATGAGCTATACAAATTCTATAATTTATTGAACTATTCTTATCGAGAAAGTGTTTATAAATAGTTAATAATATTACAAATATGATGTAAGACGTTCATTATAAATATCTGAGTGAATTCGAATATGTCAATGCACAATTTCTAATAAGCATCATGAAATAGAACAAATTTCTAAATGAGAATTATTTTAATATTTTTGTTGCTTACCTCTGAAGTTACAATCTCATTTTACGTCATCCGTTATAATAGAATATTGAAATTAGGAACTGGATAGGTGTGTTCAGGAAAATGGTTTCATTTTTCAGAGAATGAATGGCACCAGAAAATGACTGAATTAAATTATTACAGGATTTAATGTTCTGAAATAACAAAAAATTTTCTTTATTAAATATAAATTACAATATAATTAAAGTAAATAAAAATTATATTTAAAAATATTACAGGTTAGACAAGAATTAATAATTATTATAAAAATTTTGATCTGTAAAAAGATAAATAGATATTCTTTTAAATAGGAACGTTCATTGACTATTCGAACGAGGCAAAAACCCATTTCAGCAAGACGAATGTGCTCAGGAGTATTTATAATTCCGTGCTTCTTGTAAAACGTTGGATTATTTTTGTGTGCTTTCAATGATCAGAGAAGACGTAACGTCTGCTATCCTAAGATAGGTAACTTGCACGAAAATATTTAATATAATTCATATTTTTAATAAAACAAAAATTAAAACTACTGATACAATGTAAAAAATAAGATAAAACATAAATAATTTATTAGGAAATTGTTTCATTCATATTTCAAATTATTTATATTTAATTAGCATGTATAAATTGATAATTTAAGGAGAAACGTCATCTTAGTAGTAGACACTGACGTCTCGAAAGAAATCGTGATGTCACGATATATCCTTGAAAGAGACGCTATTATGGCCGGTCAAGCCTACGCTCTAGGCCAGGGGCTAGGCTAAGCTATTTCCGCTATTCAGCTTATGGACAAAAATAATCCTAGAGAGCTTTCGAACGAAAAGCTGCTGGGACCTCTGGTGTCCCTCCGGAGAAAGACGATTTCTGTACTTCCGCCACTTCAGAGATATCTCTTCAACTCTATCCCATTCCTTATCCATTCCTTGCAATTACTTTAAAAGCAAATTTTGCTCTTACATTCCATCATTTTTCTTTTAATTTTCATATTGCCGATTGATAAATGAAAACTTAGACACAATGAGAAAAAAGTTTGACACTTTTCAAATTTATTTTTATATTACCTAATATCACAGAAAATTTTCATATTTCTAACCTTATTTTCGTATAAAAATTTTCATATTCTTAATTAACTTTGTATATTCCTCATTTTCTTTTTGTAACCTAGAATACATATAATCTAAATTAATTTACATTATATTATATAAAATTTGGTATATAAAATAAAAAAAAAAACAATTTTCCTGCAATTCCTCCAAGTAATTAACAAGAATCCACATTATTCACATCAAAGAACGAAACGATTAAATTTTCATCACCTTATTTAACAATCTGTTCTCGTTTCGAAATCCTGATTTAATTATGCATAGTTGCAAGAGACCGTTTACCATTATTTCGGTAATTGGCGCGAGCAATTAATCTCGACACACCCACGCAATCGCGTTATGCGCATGCGCGCGCCTTTTTCGAAAACGATTTTCTATTTTCCACCGTGGCGATGCGTGCGACAGGTGCTTGGCCGATGCCAAAGCGAAATCGCGCACAGCCTGGCCCACACCGGGGGCTCTTCGGTGGAACACTACGATTTCTCGGGTGCACGGATTTCGAAACACGTGAGAGACCAGAACATGGGTATTTTCAATCGTCTCTTCTTTTTGCTGGCAGTACAACCCGACCAAGCCGCTTCTTGTCCTGGCCGGACCGATAGGTGAAGGCGATTGGATCGAGTCACCTCTCGTAGTATTTTTGGGTGGCCACGTGATATCGTTTTTCAAACTTTTTTGCACGGGGAATAAAGTAGGTCTTGTTACCAACCAATTTTTTTTCTTTCGAGACTTTATTCGTTCGTTAATTATTCTGTGAAATAAGAAAATGGGGAATTTTAATTGGAAATGAATATGGAAATGATAGAAGATTCAGGAGAGATGATGATTTATTTTAGGTGAGCATGATTGAATCTAAATATCATAAGTTAAAGAATATTTCTATGAAAAAAAATTTCAAGATTTCAATGATTTGAAATAATTTATTGAAATAATTTAATTGGTATATAAGTTTAGCAATTTCTCTTCACTTAAGAAAAGTGTGAGGATTATATTTATCTTTATCTAGAAATATACGAGTTAAAATATTCATTATAGTGTAATATCTGCAAAATTAATGATAACCAATCAAATCATCTTTCTTCATTCTTTATTTCTTTAACTTTGAAAATATAATTTCAAAAAAATAATGATTTGGAATAAAATAAGAAGGTATTAAATATAATTTAAATAGCGAGAAGATTAATCTTGATTTATATACCTACAATAAAGGAAGATACATAACGGATAAGTTACAAAGATAATTAACAGCAATTACCAAGAGAATCCTAAAGGAACAATAGCCTCGTATGGCTCGTGATATTCGATGTTCAATAAGAAGAGAAAATGGTGAATTTAGTTAACCTAGTTCCATAGACCTCGTTCCTGGCGCTCACGACCTTTACATCCATCGTTGAATCCGGAGATCCAGACAGACACAGAATGGGATCCACCTCAAGAGCTGCTCCACCTGCCACCGGATACCAGTGTGACCAAGCTGACCGTCCGGCAGTACGCCTACACGAATTGCTACTGCGTTATTTCGAGTGTTTTAGCCTTGGGTGTTGGCCAGAGAAAACTTTTGAAATATCGAGGAGCACTTGGTCTCTTCCTCGGCCATCAGGATTCTGTGATAAGTACAAAGTAGCACAAAGTGATCCGCGCGAGTAGCTGCAACTAAAACGTGACGAGAAGAATATCATGCCTCTTCTCCTAGGATAGGAATTTGAAATCGTTATATTCGTTGAATCCATCAACGGTGACATGATTAATAAAGGAATATCTTCTTCAAGATTTTACAATGTTTATCATATTTTTAACAATTGTTCACAATGAAAAATATTATTTGAATCGTTTTTGAGCATGACTGTCCCAACGTTTCTGCCAAGATTGCTAATAAATTTATGATACAATCTGTCACGTATTATTACTTGTTCCTTGTTTTGTTTTTAATACGTTATTGTTGTATACAATTATTTATATAAATTTTCAATCTTCTAAGAATCTTATGAATTTTTATTACGTGTCCGAGGAAAATTACTTGTAGAAGATGTAACGTAAAAGACGTATTTTGATAAAAGTCAAAACTATGTGCCTGCGTATAATAAATAAAACAAAATATAAGATAAAAGATACAATAGATGCAAAGATGCGTGTCGATCGATGGACAGATTGGAGAGAATCATTTGGATTTTTCACGAGTTTGAAAAACTCAAACGCACAGGTTTGGCACCACGGTGGATAGATTCCTTGACGAAAACGAGCTCTGGCCCGGAACGTCGACAAACCAGAACGAGAAATAATAATAACAGCTCACGCAAAGATTCCACTCGCGATTTCAATCTAATATTTAAATAGATTCTGCGGCCGGTGTTCGCGAAACGAGCGTAAGAAAGGAAGACAAAGACGAAGACATTCTTCCTGGGCCGAGTAGTCGGACGGAAGTCGAACCACACACTTCACTTTCTTACCTCTCTCTCATTTTTCATCTTTCTTCTCCTCGTTTTTTCCTTGTAAGAAAAACCATGACGATTCAATGAACTTAATAAAACTATTTAGCTCGAATTAACTATTTATCTGTGATTTCGTTGGCAATACAATATTGTAAAATATTATTTTCTTACAATTATTAATTGCTAAATAAACCTTAATTACCTTAGTTAATAATTATTATAATTTACACGATTATTATTCAATCACAAATGATAACTGCATTCAGATAAATATTCGCATTCAAGTAGCTTTTTAAAAGCATTTTTTCAACATCCAGGCAAATAAGCTTCCGGACAAGATGACTCCGCTCCTGCAATTAAAACGATTAATCAGCGATATAAGAATTAACGAACAACTTACTTGTACAACTTAATTCACCAACAGGTTGCAATTTTAATAAATGAAAAACCATGCGATTAGTACGCAATCGATGATCAATTACGCAATCCACGTTTCAAAATCGTCTTAACAAGCATCGAAGGTGAGCAACAAAGAATCCGACGATTTTATAGGATTGGCTAAGGTGGCCAACAATTGGCATCGCGATCGTCACTTGTGCATCTACGGCAATCGTAGTGCTAATTAGGGAGTCTGCCGCCACGAGGAGGAGCGTGGAAGAATCATTAATTTGTTTGACGTAACGCGGATTCGGACTTCGTTCAAGCTGAAACACGATGATCGAATTTGGGGCTCGAGACCGAATTTCGATCACGGGCGAATTCTGAAAATGGACAGAAACGATTCAGTCAAATACGACGATCGTTAACAGCTTTGTTGAAAGATAGATCCATGGATTTCATCTATTCTTCTTCGATAGATATATTTTACAATTTTCTTCCTCATTATAAATTCATGTTTTATATGTATATATATATATTTATAACGAAACATGTAAAATATGTTAAATACTTTGAATTGTCTTCCATTATAAAAAATTCATTGAAAAAAATGTTGCACGTTAGTGTAAAAATTGTATCAAATCTTGACCCTCTGATGAATTAATTATTAAAGACGTGAAAAATATTCTCAACGTACCACAAACAGATGCTGATGGGTGTCGCGTGCCTTATGCGACTATACCGTGCCACTTGAAATTCCTCGCTGCTATTGAAATGCCGCAATATGTGTAACGCGCTGCAACAGAATTTTCCAAGCGACAACGATTTATAATACGATTAATAATACATGGGTAAAAATAATTTCGTATCGATTACATTGAGCAACCTGCACTCATCGGTAACTATGTTATACTGCATGCTTGCGATACAATTTTATTAATAATAATAATAATAATAATAATAATAATAAAATTAAATAAATATTTATTTTCCCTTATTTACAATAATTACTTTATAATCTTCAGTTTACGCTTTAATGGATAACAAAATTTTATAAATGATAATTCATCCTATCAAAATAAATTTCCTTAAATCAATTTTCCCCTTCATAAAATTAGACCAAAAACTTCACACGATCATCGAGAATTGCGTGCGTCAAAATTTATTCAACGACGATCTCTCGAAGATCGTTTAACTCGAATAATTTGATACACGCGAACCCGATACAAAAGTTGTACAGTAAAAACGTGTACACACGTGGACACGTGGAAACCCTTGGAACAATGCCAGCATCAGATTTTCTGACGCATTGTGATATATGAACGCGTGGTGAATTGTGCTGAACGGTTCAGCGAATGAAAATGCATACTTGATAGATAGAGGGGAATGATAATTCATTTCGATCTAATTCGAATGTGATGAAATTAGCTGATTCGCGACTATTCTCAATCCATGGTTATACAGTTTCTCGATTCAAGTTACCATTCCACAATTAGCGTTTTCATTAGCGTTTTTTCAAACGTGCAACAATACTTCGTTAGTATTCTATGTTTGTATTAATTTTGAAAAATAAATGAAACGTACGTGGAAAGAAGTAAAATTTTATCATACGATATCGATATTTCTATTTTTTCTTTTTTTTTTTTTTAATTCAAATTTTTTGTCCTATATCTTATTTTCTATATTGTCTTTTCTTTTTATGAATTTAAGTGTATTTAAAAAGATAATTAAATGATTCAATTTCATCATACGTTCAGTTAAAGCGAATTCTATAGGAAATCGCTATTAAGTGGTAGGTGGAACAATAAACGTTAGGAAGCGAATCAAAATTTACGATTTGAAACAGTACAGGGGGTAATTTGCAGTGATGCTCATTTACACGTATAAGTGATCATTGTTTCGATAGCTAAAATAGAAAGTAAACGAAAAGGATTCTAATGTATCTGATATCGATGCTTGCGCTCGTTTGTGATTTTAAGCTGTCTGAATAAAGAAAATTCGATCGATCGTTCATCCGACCCGATTGAAGAAATAAACCGTAAGAGTTGTTGCCGTCCGAACGTGTCGATACTCGCGTAAAATAAGATTCATTGACCACGTTGTGTTATTGACTACTTGTCACGCACTGTATTCTACTTACGTCAAAGATCGAATGATTTATAGTATTATGAAAAAGTGAGTATAATTGTTATTTTATGCGTATAATGAATTATGGAATGTTCAATTCTTACAACTTTATTTGAGGAGTAATAAATTAAATATTTCGCAGTAATTTTCTTTGATAACATTATTTAAATTATATATTAATAGTATAATTTTAAATGTTTTAGATAAATCTAAAATATAAAAAAGTATTATAGAAAAAGTACTTTAGCAATCTTGTTTAAGTCCTCATATAAGTATTTTCTAAAGCTTGAGACCCTAAAATTCAAGAAATTAAAAATTAATATTATTTTTGTAAAAAATATAATATATACATATATTATATTATAAGTCATTTTATAACATATTATTTATATTATAATTCATATATGAACTTCTAGAGATTTATACTGAGAGATCTGTGAGACGTTGAAGGGTTCTTAGGTCGTTCACCTATTCCGCTGATATTTATAGTTTTCCTGGTGATGCTCAACTGACAAGACGCACGATTATAATTAATCTCTTTCTCGGTAATGCTATATCGGTCTTGTTACGTTTTAAAAGCATAAAAGATTCTATGCTTTCGCTTATCTGAACTTTAAAGTGAACTTGATATCTTTTTACCTGTTGATTTTCCATCGAAGCGAATCACATTTGATCTATGCATTCAAAATCCTACGAGACAATACGCGGTTAAAATATCAAGAACTATGTATTAACTAGGACAAATTTTGGCAAAACGAAAATGCGGTTACGTCATATAAAATCACGTGCATCGATATCACTTTGTAAGCGCAATGATGAGTATACGCGGTTGCCCTTGGATAAGATCCAAAATTGTTCCGGCACCTTACTTTGAAGCAGCTTCATACTAAAATACCAACTGCGTATTTAATACCTAATTATATTTGCCTGATGCGTAAGGTAAAATATAAAAGATACCTGAAACACCTGTCCTTTCTCTACATTTGATATTTATAGAAATCGCGACACGTTTATATGGATTGGTCGTATTTGCACTTTTCCTTTAATCTCACCTCATTGTTTTGATAACCCGAATTATGATGTAAGTACAAAACGTAAAATACGAGTTTCTGCAAGCGTGTCTTGTGTCAGCTTGACGGCCAGCCATGAAGATATTTATGCTGGACGACAACGAAGTTTAAATTTATTTCATGTTAAATAAGCTCATTGCCTAAAAGTATTTAAATACATATTTATTATTGTGGCCTTTCAATTGCATCGACTGGTTTGTCGCTCCTTGAAAAATGATGGAAATGTTTTCTCATATTTTTAGATTATCATTTTATCAGATTAATTCAAACCAATCGTCTTGTATATATTTTCACATAAAATTTTTATTTTATGTAACGATAAAAAAAAAAAGAAAAATAAGAGCAAATAACAATTGTTCTAACCTTTTGTGGTTTGCTACAGCTACCAAAACACGTCTTTGAGCAAAAGGCATCACATCCACTTGGCCAAAAGATGAAAACTTCTCCATCAACTGGGGGAAAATATTAGTATTCAGACATTTCTAATGATTATTATTAAATGTAATTTTACATTTGAATATACCTGTTTAATATCTACAGTTGGTGATTTTAACTTTACATGAAGCCATTCTGGTCTTGATAACATTGGGTCTGGACCATCAAATTTCTAAAATATACATAGTATAATTAAAATTATTATTTTATATATCTTAGTTATCAAAAGAAATATATATCTTCTCACCATATACATTTCATTGCCTCTTGTTATATTTATACAATTTACAAAGTTTTTTATGCTGTTTATTAGTTCAGCATGCGTTGCTCTTCTTTCTTCCAAACCTCTAAAAATAAAAAATATTATTCAAGATAAATAAATACAAAAATTATTATAATATAAATATTATATAAATATTGACCATACGTTCCAAATTTATTTACACAAAATATGTGTGCCATTTTTATATATATATATCCAGCAAAGTAAGCATCCCATCCAGCAGTATGATACTTTTTTTCATCTAGGATAATATCTGGGACAATATAATAAAATTTGAATTGAGAATATGAAATTATATTAAAATATAATAAATTTTAATAAATCATCATAAAAAGTAATTTACTTGAAGATTCTTCATTAATTACAATCTTTGGTGAATTCAAGGTTAATAACTTTCCTTTAGTTGTAAAATATTCGTATAAAGTACTCAATGAACTTATTTTCCAACTCACTTAAAGAAAAACATGTTCATATGTTTATACAACTTTTATATCATTTATTTATAATTTTTTGTTCTTTTTATCATTGCTTTTTACCTTCTTCCTTGCTAAATAATTTTCGTACTTCGTAACTTAAAAATTTTGTATCATATATTTGTGGAAATAATTCATGTATATTGTTTTTGAATTCATTATATGAATCTAAAATATATATAAATTTCAATTATATAATTTATTAAATATTGTAAAAAACAATAAAATATTATATTTTATTAAATATTATATATAATATGGAATATTTAATACTTGGCAGTGGTTTATAAAATTGTTGATGCATAAACATCAAATCTAAAAGTATATTGTGTCCTATTATTATTTTTTTAGAGGAGGATAAAAGTTTAAATACTTTAGAAAATCCTATGTAATAATCTAACAATTCTTTCTCCAAATTTTCTTCATCATTCTTTTTTAAAAGTTCATGCATGTCAGGTGATATTTCTACAATACCTATCTAAAAAAGAAATAACTCCGTAGAATGTTTCTAATATATACATATACTTATTTATATCAAAATATAAATAATAAAAAATATTGTATACATACTGATTTATGATCCGATATACTCCAAATATTTTTATAATTGTACCTTATATCTTTATGTATCAAATATTGTAATATAGGATTAGAAGTTTGTATGTTTAATGTTTGTTCACTCTTATTATTAGCAATCCATTCAGAAATCTTAGTTTTATAATCTATGAACTCATTTTCCTCTTCATATGTTAAATGATTTAAATTATATGCTAAACTACCTCCTTTTATATAATTCTTTAATAACTTTTCATCTGTCTCATCCAAGAACGAAATACCTTCATTTAAAAACTAAAAGATATATATTAGAATTAAGCAAATAATTTGTACGAGTAAACACAAATATGTTTTATAATACACAATTTTACTTAAACAACATACTTTATTAAATTCAAAATTATGTTTACAAAGGAACTCTAATGCTGCCACTTGCCATATTAAATGTCTATTTTTTAATGGTATAGATTTTGGAAACAAATAAGAATTAAAACAATCTACTTTATAGGTATTTTCATAAGGAACATGACGGAAAGTTGCAATACCAAATTGTATTATCATAAATTGTTGAATATTTTTCTTTAATAATTTATAACGATCATTGAACGAATCGAAAAAGCTGAAATGAAAGAGATACAAATGAGAAAAAATATAATTAAAGTTGATTTTTAATTCTTAAACAAATCTAACCTATGTTTCAATTTCTCTTCTGAATATAAACCAGTAAATTCAGCATCGATGGCAATAAAAGTTGCATTGTTCACAGCATTTTCCAACTTTGGATACAAAGTTTTAAAGTTCTTGTTTAAAACTTCATTCATATTATCAAATTCTATATATTTATCTACACTAGAACTTTCCTCTTAAATGTATCGTAATGTACAATGTATGAATGTACAATGTCAATATAACCTAAAATATCCAATAAAAACTACAGTATTAATTTTTATCACAAAAAAATTAATTTCACGATGAAATAAAATAAAAATTTACGTATTTAAAATTTAATTTGTTAAATAATAATTAGTTTCAAAGATGATTTATGAAAAATCAAATATTCAAATATTATTCAGGACAATGGCGATAAGATAATATTTAAAATTTGAAATTGCACATATTTACAATTAAAATTATAAATTAATAAATAATATACATAAAAATGCACATATTTTCTTTTTAATTCGTTAAATAAAACTATTACAGCACATTTCTGTCTAACATATTTAAAATTATTAAATTTGAAAACTTATGCAATTTCTAAGATATTAAGATAGAGTGCATATATCATCAAAATTAATTATAATTATAAATAATAATATAAGTATAATTATACCTTAACGCTTCGAAAGTATAAAGAATAAAATTAATCGAATCATGATCAAAAAACAAAAATCAACCATCCAATTATCGGATATAATTTATTCCACTTTCTCAAGAAATTTCTCGTTGATTTTCAACAACAATTTAATTCGACATAAACTCGATCGTTAATCAAAGATGGTAAAAAGGATTTGAAGGCGTAGCAAGAAAAACTCGATCGAGCAATTTCTTTCGAAAATTTTCCATTCGAACGATCAGACAAGTTACAACTTTCTCATTGTTAGATAATCAAATTGGAAAAGCAAGTATATCAAACTGTGCAAATAATTCTCCCATAATAATTAGAACTAATATTACTAATAACAAATAAACAAATCATGTGCAATATCAATTTCAATATTAAACGTGAATATGAATATAATCGAATGATCTAAAATAAAATAAATACATCGTTTACAACTTCCTTCTCGTTAAAATTCCTACACGCTAGCTTTTTTGCAATGATCTATCGTCGAGTGCAACCGAGTTCCTCGCTCGAGTGTGATCGTCACGATTCGCACTCAGTTAGTTGCATATCATCGAACGAAACCTGTGGACAGTTTTTCACGTGTTCCACGATAATCGCATTGCAACAAAGAAACGAACGTGAACGAACCGACAAACGTTTCCGTAGTTGAAAGATCTTTCTTTTTAATCGGCAAACAACTCTCTCTCTGGCAATGAACTTGCGCCTATCGTGTTAGTGTATTCGCGGCCACGAAACTGGATAGTTCGTCCTGTTGATCGTTCCACCGTTGGAATTTTATACCAAGTGTGTACGTTGCATTGTTGCACACAAGAGACACTTGAACCTAGATCTTGTCCTCAACAATGTTCTTCAGATTCTCTATATTCGTCGGCCTGAGTTCCGTGGTAGCGACTATTATCTATCTGACACCTATACCACGTGAGTTTTTCTTTTTTAACATTGTGTCAAATATCTGAATATCTTTTTCTCTTTTTTAAATTAATAATAATTAAATTATAAAATTCAATTGCGATTTAAACATTCGTACGTTGACGAAGATTAATGTCGTGAGAGTAGAATCTGTCGAAAATTTCATCAAATCGAATTTGGACATGCGATTGATTTTATCAAATCAATTAGGAAAGATTTTTTTCGAAAGGTGAATAAACCCGAACTAAGATCAATATAAATGTTTCGGTAATGCGTGAAGATATTTTCATTTCTAAAAATGCAACAACCGTTAAGCATGCTAGATGTAATTTAAACTATGATTCGTTCGTTTAAAACTAAATAAATAAAATCTCCAATATATATTTTTATATAAATCTAATAATTTCAATTTACATTATTCGAATATTTATCCAATTTTAGATATCTTTGGTACGTTTTCAAAAAATCAAATCACTAGAGAAAGGAAAACGTGAATCTGTAAATTCAAAATTTATAGATTTTATACGTTATCTTAGAGATTTCTAAAAACTACTTTCGATTTAACGGCCCTAGTTTTTTCCCTCGTTCTCTCAATAGTTAAAAATTTAAATTGATTTATGAACTCTAAAGCTGTTTTTACTTTTCTATTATGGCAAATAAAAAATATTTCTATAAAAGTATTCATAGAAATATTAAACCTCGAATGTTTCGCGAGAAAGCGCTTACTCTACCCATCATCTTTAAAATTTTAATTTTAATTTTAACTCCATCCTCGAACAAACCGCTTTCTTCCACTTTTGACACTTAGCCCTCACTTCCTTCGTTATTATTCAATTCATTTTCGAATTAAACGTGACTCGAGCAATTATTCTTTAGTCGAAACTGAATCGTTTTTTTTTTTTTTTTTTACTACGAAATCACGATCCTTCACTTTCACCCTGGAACAACGGTAACATCTAAATTAAATTTACGAATAAACGTGTATAAATGAAAAAATAAAATTTCACACATATTTCTTTCTTCTCTATTAAAATTAAATTTAAAACAATTTTTTCCCCCACGAATAGATCGATAATCTTTTTTCGTAAGAAACGGTCGATCGCACCATTATTTTCCAAAAAAACTTGGAAATAATTGCGTTTATCAATTAAAATGGATCACCCTGTATACACGCATAAAAACTTGTCCAACTTAAGCTGTTCTACTTGCTACAATGTACCTCAATGTCTATGCGACCAGTCTTGCAAACTGAAATGTAACACGCTTCGAGTTTGATATTATTTGGAATCGTGCACAACGATGATGTCTTATCTAAAAAAATTATTTGAAAAATTATTCCTCGAATTCTACCAATCACGAATTCTACCATTAACAAAATTTGACAAGAAGAGAGTTCATTTTTGGATATATTCTCTCTATTCCTCTCCGCGCTACCAGAAAGGTCGCGTGAAAGTCTTCCAATGAATTTCCTTATGTTCGCTATAAATCACTTTCTTCCACATTCATTGCAAGAAATCGTGTTTGTCATCCTTTTTTAGAAACAATTAAAAACTGAACAATATATCGAATAGGAAACTTGTTCTAACCTGAAAGAAGAAAGTAATATCGTGCATTGCGTAACAAGTAAGAACGAGATGGAAAGTATATAAAGGTTTTTCCTTTCCACGTTTTTCATTCGTCGGTTTTATGATGTAGAAATATCGATGCTGTTCGGTCATGATCGCGGCCACGCGGCCGTAAAAATTCCGTTTAACAAGTGAGATACATTCCACAGATAAGGAGAATCGTAACGTCGTAACCGTTGAAATTAAGACTTCCAACGGGCGAAAGAAATAGCGAATAATTATTGTAACCATCCCCCCAGTGCGAGGTGAAAGCGAATATTGTAACGCTGATCGATTCGAGATCACGCGCGATCTATCTTTGTTCCATTGTTACGATCTAGTTAGGATAAAAATGGACGCCTGATATCACATTTTGAACGGTATATTTTTGCATAAGAAAAAAATGCAATAATTCGAACATTTCACGGAATGGAGAAAGTTGAATTTAGAAAATGAATAAGTAATTGAAGAAACGAATAAATAAATAAATAAATATATAGTAATTGGTAGTCAAGTGGCGCTAGTGTCATTGGTAATGTTAATTGGATCTTATGCAACGAGAAAATGACAGTTTTCCTTTAAAAATATTATTTGATTTGATGGAAAGTTAGATTATTTTTCAAAGGATAAAGGTAAAATCCATAAATTTTCTGGTTGATTACGCATCGTCTCTAATTTAACACCATTCGTGCATATCGTGGTAGTTACCTCCAAAAAAAAAAAAAAAAAGGGGATAATATCCGATTCAAGTCCGTTTCTATCTTATTTTCCTGCATACACAAAAAGTTTTGGCAAATCATCAAGATGTTTTATCAAAAATTTAATCAAAAAAAGATTTTAATCTTTAACACTGCTTGAAATTGCAAAAAATTTTTTCCAATAAATCTGTTAAAATTAAAATTCCATGTAGTTGAGAATAGTTATCGCAAATAGTTAACGCGTTTCTTGCCAAAATTTTTCTTAATAATCTTGATAAGAATTAATTAAAAAGTAGTAGTAGACGATCCCTGGTGAAAATAACCACGCGACAACGGGCAATTCTAGGTATACATTTCATCGATCCGGCTTTCTAACGTCCTGGAAACGAAACACCTTAGCGACGAGAGATCTCAGCCGCTGGATAGATTTCCGGAAACACTTCGAGAAAATTCTTTTCAAAAAATTTTCGTCCAGAAGAACGTAGTAGGAAACATTTCATTCAAATATTCACATTTTTCTTCTTATCTTCCCATCGATCATTTTAACCCTTGTCAACCTATACATTACGATCAATTTATAATTTTTTTTCGATATAACGACTATTCAAAATTAATTAATCCTTAGTTTAATCGGTGATATAAAGAGAGAGATAAGATAACCCGTTTGAAGATCGTGATCAGTGATACTGTCACGGTGCCAATTAGTATTCAAAAAAATTTGTAAATCGATAAAACAAATCGGTGAAAAGTAGAAAGCCTGTCTCGTGGAAATGGCACTTGGCGCACATAAGCGAGCAAAACAAATAACACCAGCGAAAGCGAAATCGAAACCGAAATTGAAATCGAAATTGAAATCGAAATCGAAATCGAAATCTCTTGGACCCGTTGTAATCGACAGCTCGGTGAAAGAGAAAGATTCACGTGGGATTGAGGGGGAGGGGGAGAAGAGAGATAGGGACACGGAGAAACGAATCTATATGGAATCTTTACACAGATTCAGGATATTTAAAAAATTATAATCAATTTTAAAAATTCATACTCTCTCTCTCTCTCTCTCTCTCTCTACTATACAACAA